GCAGGGGAAGGGTCTGCTGAACCTTCTCGATGGGATGAGGGGGAACCTGAGGCCCTGGAGGGAAAAGGGACACAGCCTGTGAGACAGAGGCAGCAAACAGGCCTGGATGGGACAGGTGTTCAAAGTTCAAATGAAAGGATGGGATTTCTGGACCATGGCCTTAGGAGGATAAGGAGGGTACAACTCCAGCTCCCTCTACTGAGCACTGAGCATGAGCCAGGCATGGAGCTGGAAGCCCCTACAGGTCGTCACAGCCCTGTGAGATGATCCTGGTACTGTCCCATTTCACAGATGAGGGAACTGAGGCTAAAGAGGAGCAGAGACTAGACAGACAGACACCCAGGTGTTCTAACTCCCAGGCCAGTGTCCCTTCCCATCTCTGGGTTGTTGTCAGAAAAGGGAGAGGGGCCTGTGGCCTGGTGGTAGCTGGGGGTCTTCCCTGTGGGAGGTGGAGGGTGGGTTCCCCAGCTTCTCTTCCAAGAGGCAGTCACAGTGATTTGGGCTAACTGCTGAGGCTGTGGCATCAGCCAGTGCTGGCTTCCTGGCCAGGCCCACTCCCGACTTGCTCTGTGATCCTCCATAAGAGACTTTACCTCTCTGAGTCTCAGTTTCCTCATCTGTGAAATGGGGTCACAGTAGCCCCCACTTCCTGGAGTTGTTGGGAAGACGAAAGGAGCAAATGATGACCCGGGCCAGTACACTATGGCCTCAGCAAACCCTGGTGGTTGTTGCTGAGGGATGGGGGTGGTTCAGGCCAGGGGCAGACTGGCACAGGCCAGGAGAACCCCAGGGCAGGCACGTGGTGTGAAACCTGGGAGTCCCAGCCACGATGAGTCCCTGTTGCCGTGGTGGAGGGGCCTTGTCAGCGCCAGGCTAGCCCTGCCGTTGGCCCAGGTGCCAGGGCAGTTGCTGCATCCCTGAGAGGATGAATGGGGCTCAGTGTGGCAGCTCCGCTGAGCTCAGAGCCCTCTTTGTGCTGCCTCAAGTGGCCGTTGGGAGTGTGGCTGGGGACCTGCTGGCGGGTGGCTGTCCCCCAGGCCCTCCTCAGCCAGTGCTGGAGGCCAGCCCAGCCCCACTCTGCAGCACTGAACACACAAGTGCTTTCCCACCTCCAGGCCTTTGCTTGGGCCGGACCCGCACTCGGAATGCCACTTGTCCCTCCACTGGCTCTATCTTTTGCCTCCACTGAGTCCCTGAGGTCTGATTGAGCCATAGTGCCCCAGGAACGCTGCTCTGATTTCTGTCCCCTCCCTCCTTGCCCTCCTTCCTCCAAGTCTATGTCACAGTCGTCTGCAATCTGACCAGGTACTATCAGGGATTGGAGGCTTTCAATGTCATAGTCAAAGGTGTTGGACCCAGGCAAACCTGAGTTCAGACCCCACCTCGGGCAAAGTCACATCAACTCTCTGAGCTTCATTTTTCTCATCAGTAAAATTGGACAAATACAACATCCCTCACAGTATCCTGTGGCAATGAAATAACACGTTTATACTGAGAGTTATCATCTGTATTACATTCACTTTTGTCTTTATATGCATGTTCCAAACAGACCTCATGCTCCGTTGAGAGAACTGGCCTCATGCATCCATACTGGCCTCAGGCCTGCTATACTGTAGCACTCAGTAGATACCTTTCCCTAGCTTGACTCAGTTGTCTTATATTGGGGGACAAAGAGACCTGGCTTTGAATCCCAGCTCCATAGCTCCCTCGCTGCGTGGCCTTTGGCAGGCCACTTCACCACTCTGAACCTGTTTCTTCTTCTGTAAATTTGGCCCCATAATAACAACTTCCTAAGAGGGGTGCTATAAAGTTCTAGGGGTCTGACACATAACACCACGGGGCCGGGCACAGTCAGTACCCAGCCGATGTGGGCAGAATGTCCATGGGATTGCAGGGCTGTGGGCATCACACAGCCACTCTCTGTCCTGTATCCCCCTATCCAGTGACCCCTGTCTCCCCAGACAGACCGGCAGCCAAGAGCACCCCACCCCACAAGCCTTTCTTCTCTCAATATGCCCCGTACCCTGTTCCTACTCGGGGGAGGAAAACAGAGGGTCCAGGCCAGGGTCAAAACAGCTGGCCAGTGGCTCCCTTTCCTACTCTGTGCCTCAGTTTCCCTAACTGCTAAATGGCAGCAGGACCAGAGGCTCTCTCAGAGCCTGGTCAGTCAATCGGCAAACATTCCTGAGTATTGGCCACATGCCCTGTTTTGCCAGCTTAGCTGATCATGGAAACAGGAAACATTTCCCTCAAACCAGCAAATCAGAAGTCAAAGTCAGTGAGAAATTGTCTCTGGCTAGGACCTAATTTCTTCTCACTTTCACCTAGGCAGCCTGCTGAAGGGCTTCTGACTGCTCCTGCCTGCATTCCTCCCCAAGGAAGGGCTGAGGGCCTGAGGCCCTGAGGGGAAGTGACTGGCGATGTCAGGGTTCAGGCCAGGGATGGTGGGGTGGAGGAGGTGACACCACCGGAACTTTTGCTGAGGCCTCTGCCCACAGGATGTGACTTAGCGAGGGCTCATGAGAAACAAGTAGGGGCCCCAGCCTGAGAGTCTGATGGTGGAAGCCACACAAGCCCATGGCAGACCTACCCCCTCCAATGCTACTATCCCCTCCCACACCTCCCACCGGCATCCAAGGCACCCAGCCAGTGGTGCTGTGACAAGACTGTGCCCTAACTCCACCCTCAGCCCAGATGGGTAGGGTCCTGACACGGGTAATTGCTTGGGGTTGGCACCAGACTGACCCGGTTCAAATATCAGTATGGCAACTGGCCGGCTATTTGACCCTGGCCAGTGACGGCACTTCTGAATTTCAGTCCTTCTGAGTACAATAGAGGTAATAATAGTGTAATATTGCTGAGTGAGAATTGAGATAATTCCCATAAAGTGGGAAGCGTACAGCTTGGACCATTGATTTTCCCTTGATAAATTGTACTTACTACAATTGTTATTTTCTCCCTCCTTGCCCTCCCCACCCCCAACTTAGCCAATGGCCACTCTGCTTCTAATAGTGTGCCCGTGAAGCTGACCCCAGATCACTCCCCGACATGCCTCAAACCCCTGCTGGTCTACACTGCCTTCAGGAGAGTGCTCTCTGCTCCTCATCTGACCCTCAAGACCTTACCTGGAAGGGTCCCCCATGGCAGAACAGGGTCTCTTGGGACATGAGGATCACCAGACCCATTCCTGACTGCTCCTACAAGGAAGCTTCAAGGCCAAGCCATGTGAGCTAAGAGGTGGAGAGCAACCGGGGAAAGGTACTGGGGTGCAATCAGAGAGCACAGCCCCGAAGGCAGGGAGGCCCAGGGGGTAGGAAACAGTGTGGCCACAACCTACAAGGGAAGATGGAAAGAGCCCCAAATGTCACAATTTTGTTTTTCCTGAAGACAGTGGAGGGAAATACATACAGACTCTGCTTCAGAATGATCTGGCGGGTGCTCCGAGGGGGACAGATGGAGAGGGCAGACTGGGGAGGACAGGACTCAGGATCCATTGGCAGAGGACTGGAGAGGAGGGGCAGATTGAAGAGGTGCAGAGGAGTTGGAAAGACAGCCTTGTTGGGGGCTGGCTTTTGAGTAGGGCTGGAGGAAGAAAGAGGAGGCTCCTGGAGCCAGAAAGGTATCAGAAAGATGCTGGGGAAGGGCCAGGGTAGGGAAAGGGGGCACAGGACCAGAGAAGGAGATGGGTGAATGGTGGGCTTGGTGCCTGGCACATAAGGACAACAGGCCTCAAACAGCACGACTGCTGTCCTCCTGGACAGACTGTAAATAGCCTGAGTCAAGAGCACCCTCTTCAGACTCAGACAAGGTTCGAGTCCCAGCTTTGTCACTGTGTGACCTTGAGCAAATGACCTCACCTCTCTGAGCCTCAATGTGCTCTTCTGTAAAATTGGTTAGTGATCCTGACTATGGGGCTGTTGATTCAGGATTCAGCAGGAACTCCCAGCACTTCCTGAGCACACAAGGGTGCAGAGTAAATGCTAGCTACTTTTGTGACTACTGACCCGGGGCGCGACCAGCTCGAGCTCAGCTCAGGGGGGACGGGGGTCCTGTGGGTTTCATCCCTGCCTCCCGGAGAACAGGGGGTCCAGGGATGGAAGGCCTGGGCTTTGCTCGCTCGCCACCTCCAATGTCGCCGCGCCCTCTGGCGGCTGTCAGTTGCCATATCAACGGCGGGTAGCAGGGGCCCGGGGAGGCGGCGGTGGCGGCCGTTCTCTCCTCCCCAGGCCGGAGGCCGCTCCCTCGGCACCTCCCGCCTTCGCCTGTGAGGGGCTGCACCCCGAGCTGGGGAGGAAGGGGCTCCCCACGGCAGCTAGCATGTGTAGGTAAACTGAGGCACGCGGCGAGTCGCCTCGCAGCCAGGTGTAGAGCGCGGGGCCCCACCTCCGAAGGCGGAGGAGGGGCCGCGGGCGGTGACGCGCCGAGGGCGGCGGGCGGACAGGGAGCGGGCGGCGGCGGCGGGCGGCGGCGGCGGCGGCGGCGGCGGCATGCGGCGGCGGGCG